CTTGTCATGTATACTTGTAAAATTTTCTAGTCTCTGTAATGTGAGCGTAGCAAGTGAGTGAGAAGTTGAATTAAAGGGCTAAGTAGCATATAAAAGATAATAATTATTCGAGATAATTATTATATATTCCAAATCTAATAAGGGATAATTATTACAGTAAAATTTGCATTTTAAATCACACAAAGAAATTGACCTAGTTATTGCATTGTTTGATAATTGTTTAAACGTATAAAAAGCACGAAACTATTGTTGTAAAAAAATAACAACACCCGTGACCCAAATACGAGTAATAACGCCTAAGACTACAATTCAGCAACCTTGGACTATAACCGGTCAATGAGGACACCATTCGATAAAAACTAGAAGACTGGGTCAGCCAAGTCAGTAGTAGTGATACGGCGGGCGTCCAGGCACCAATTGCCTGCTCCGGGTACGCTCGACGCGGTAGCGTCGGGTACGAGCAGTTGGTAATGGGCAGTCAGTAATAGCGGGCCACCGTGACTGGGACGCGACAGCGTCCCGTACGCGAACAGTACGAGACAGTCGGTGATTCTCCAGGGGACGCGTATCATCTGGCATAGTATCGCGTGTAGTCCGGTTATTGTGGCAGCTCGAAAGTTCGCAACCCTCAACTGACCGAGTTCCAGAAGACTGAACGTGTCGTGGTTGAAAGCCCTAATACACACATAAGGTAACAGATTTCTTTATACTAACCTGTGTAATTATATTAGTACAACTGTCAACTCTTCACTATCTTGCTTCATCATCTCCCGACGCGCAGAATAAAGTGTTAACGATTGTATTTGTAACTTCAGGGTAGATTCAATATATTGTTGACTCTAAATTAGTTTTTTTTTATGTTCCTTTCGTCCGACTCTCTAGAGACTAGGAGAACACGAGATTTCTGCGTATGCATATCTCCGGCTTCAAAAGTAAGCCCATAACCTCTGCTCTTTACAGGACCTGAGACCTAGGAGTCCTTACCCCTATCCCGAAATCCCTTATCTTCTCGTAAATCCACGAAGATGAGCCAGCCCTCCAGACCAGTGTGACCAGTATTCCTTGCAGCCGCTCGCAGGGTTAGCATCCCATGAGGATCTATTGTGTATTTCATTTGGTGACAGTCTTTACAGGACCCTATACATAGAAGTTCCTTACCCCTAATCCTGAACTTCTCTCCACTTCTCGTAAATCTGTCCCAATGTATTATTTTACATCTCTTCTGCTATTTTAATCTGTAATTTGTTGTATTTTTCTTTTTCCTTCTACATATCGATGGCTGAAAGTAACAGTGAGATATCACGTCAAATTGAAATTACGAGATAATGAGGATTAAAGTTTGCATGTCATATTAGAAATCAGAAATAGGTGACCAAAAGCTCATTGTTATCAGATATTAGTCTCTTAATGTTCGAGCGTAACCTGTAATGCTAATTTTCTTTTAATTTTATCTGTAACCCAGAAAAAACAGGTTTTTGTAAAATATCCCAGTGTTACACTAACATAGGTAGTCTGGGTTGTGCTATTATTCAAAATGTCTCATTTCTATAGGGACTAGTATAGAGTAAAAAAAATGTTATTTAGTTAAGATGTTTATTTTTTACAACTTAAAATAAAAAAAACTTAATTTATAACACTAACTACTTAAAATTAATATGATAAAATTTACTTCAAATTCTCAAAAAAAAGGTGATGTCGTTCTGGGATCGCTCTGGATCTGCATAATTCCAACAAATCATTTTTTTTGTTTTCAGGGATTGAAGGAGGGGCAGTATAGGCTGGCTGTAAATTTAAATTCCGGCAATCAGTTCTGCGACCCCGCATTTTGTATTTTACATCAATGTATTTTTCAAAGTGTTGGTCAGAAAAGCTTGTTTTGTAAAAAATGTTGTAGGGGTTCTCAGCAGTTATTTTTATAGCTTTAATATTGTTCCACACACATTTTGATCCTGTGTTATCAACATTAAAGTTTTTGCCAATACTTTCGGACAACAGTTTCCAGTCCAAGAATTCTCTTGTTTCTAGTTCAGTAACATTGTATGATGAACCTGTTTTCTTGGCTAACTTTATTACAGACACCAACTCCGTGGGAACATAAATGGGACCTTGTTTTAGCATTCTTGTCTTCTCTCTTTCAATACAGGCATGCATTGAGTCCCCTTCGTTTTGTGTATGACCTGTAATTAAGTACTTATGTGTAATGCTTTTCACCTGCAATGTACACAATGCAAAAATATACATGCACAGGAGATATTTATTTTTATTCTGTGCAGTGCAGTTATCACTCCAGAAAATAACATCTTTTCCTACGCAATGATGTTTTAAATATTTATATAAACATGTAGAAATTTCTATTGCCCCTCTCTTGCCCACACCCTCATTCCAAAAGAAGCAGTAGCCCTGACGTGTTAAAGCATCAAAAATGGTAAAGTTGTATGCATTCAACTTTGATTTATAAAAAAAGGCAGATGTATTTCCACAAGGAAGCTGGAACACACCCTCTAAATCAAAAATAGCTACAATTTTATTGTCTTCTAAAGTTTTGTCCCGGTTTTTTTCCTCTCTGGCCAAAGCACTGTCTGATTTATGAAGTTCATATTCTTGTTTTTTCAATAAACGTTGCTGCTCATCCATATTTTCATACTGTGTACAAAAATTACATAAGTCTTTTTTCGGCTTAAAAAAACTTAAATTAAACTGTGTGTCAAAAACTCTAGTATATATACTTTTCTTTACAGGCCGAATCTGTTCTGTAGAACATTTTTCTGTGTATAATCTGTACATTATTGATAGATTCAAAGAACCTTCTAAATATTCCCTTTTACTGTGTGCCCTACAGTAGTGAGAGGGCATGCGAGGAAAACTGTTAATATGATTTTTGACCAAAAGTATTGCTTCATCGCTTGTTTTGTTTACACTTGATTGAACACCTCGTTTTTCTCCTTCTATAAAACCGTCTTGCAATTTCTTGATAACTGTTGATATTGTATTGTTTGATATATTCAATGTGGCAGTAAAGAAGTGCTTACAAACTCTCACCTTTTTTCCATCAACTTCAAAATAATATGCAAAATTTTCCTTTCTCTTCGCATTGCTTAACCTTTTTCTCTTGGGCAAAACTTTCATGATGCAGCGAGCCAAGTAATTCCTTTGCTTTACTTTATCACTTAAACCATAAAAAGAATTGAATAAATCTTGTCTCTTATCTTCTGAAATTTGTTCTGGACATTTTAAACTACACCTGTTGCAAGGGGTCTGCAACGATTTTGCTTTATGATGTTTTCCAAGACGAGAGACATACTCCTGGCCAGAGTTAATTTTCAGTTTTTTAACATTTTTTTTCCAGTTATTTTCATTGCGTTGTCTCTTACGACTAAGGATCGGTAACACTTCATCACCATTTTCACAGTTGAATAATGTACGAGTAGTTACAGGAACATCTTCATTAGTGTCTGGTATATAATCTAAGTCTGAATCACCATTTTCACAGTTGATTACTGCATGAGAAGTTACAGCAATACCTTCATCAGCGTCTGGTACATAGTCTGAGTTTGAATCAGAGGGCTCAAAATCTCCATCATGAGGTGTACTGTCATCTAAAAGAAAAATGTTTTATCAATTTAATATATTACACCTAGCAGCTATAAAGAACACAGATTGAAATTTATCAGAATGAAAGTAATAACAAAAACCTCATTAATACCTATACTTCTTGAATTCAATATTTCTTCAACCTCATCAGCAATCCTGTAATGTTCCAAGTTCAGTGAAGTATTTGTGCGAGAAATCAGGCTTTCGGTTATAACTATGTCATCAGTTTTAGTAGTGCTGTTCGAATTGACTGAAAAGAAAGAATCATTGTTTGTTACATGGCCAACATTTTAATGAAAACAAAAACTTTATTATTTAATTATTAAAGTAACTTTGATTATTTTAGTTTATTTAATAAAGTAACTAAAATAAACCTTATTTATCTTAAAACGGGAAATGCTTACCTGTTGCAGTCTCAGTTTTGTCTACTTGTTTAGTTGCAAGAATGCACATCAATTGACCACGTGAAACCATTTTTATAGCACTTTTCACTATATTCAATCCTTTAATAAAGTTTTGATTAAATAACAACAGGTGTGTTAATTCATATGAGTATTTTGCACACAAATATTTACACACAAATTATAATATAAATGAACCTAACCTCACAAAACTTGACAGTCGTCAAACAGAATGTCTCAGTGTTGCCCATATTTCTTTCACTAACGAGCAAGCGACAGTGGGTTATTCAGTTTGTCTCAGTGTTGCTTGGAGTAAATGAGTTAATTGCTTCCAGTATAACACTGGTTTATTCACTATAGCCGTGAAGTTGGGTTTTAATACATGTTATCTCAGTGTTGTTATGATAAATTGGACTCTTTTAGTTGATTTGCTGTAATAATGTTGAAAATATAATTTTGTCAAAATATCCCACTGTTGCTTTCAGCCATCGATATGGCCTTTTATTCAATCAGGAATCCTTTGTAGACATTTCTGTCTTGCTCTATTTTTTACTTGTTGGCAATCTTGGTCAAACCATTCCTTGTTTCTTTGCTAGAGGTTTCACTTTATGTTTCCTTAGCCATATTTGTAATATTCCATTCTTCTTTCATTTAATATTACTTTTATTTTCTGCTGATACATTTTTCTTTTAATTTGATATAATTTTATTAGTCATTTAATTGACTGGCACTTATTACAGCTAAAACACAATGTTCGGAATTGGCTCTGAATAAAATATATTAATATGTAATCATTATCAATGTAGTCCTCTCAATAAGCAAGACTCATTGTGGATCTTTGCCCCATTAACTATTTTCTTTCATGTTATCAATCCTGTGCCACATCTCCTCATTTTCTCTAAATCCTCTCTGACTAAATCTCTTCTAAGCTACCATACAGAGCTTCTCCTATCTGTTCTTTATCAAAATACATTAGTTATTAAGACGATTGTGATGAAAATCAATAAAAACAATATTATTCCATAAATTTTATTGGTCTAATTATAAAAAAATAAATTTTAACGTTTTCTGCGCAATTGCAGTGAGTTCCTTCTGAGCCAAGCAGCACGCCTGGATCCTCCCTTGGTTTGAGAGTATCTGTGACCCTTGCCCAAACCGCGAGACGATTTGCCAGAAGAAGTTTTACCGCGGAGTTCTCTGTGTTTGTGTACTGCATTGACAATCCAGTTAACTTTGGGGTCTTTGCGAATAGCCTAGAAACAAAACAATTCTAAATACATTACAAGTATCAGTTTACAAAAATAACTACAATATACTTGATAAAAATAGAAAACAATTGCTGAGATGGTTATACAACAACTAGAAGTGTTTATTTTTTTGTTAATAGAAGCAGAAATACTTTTTCACAAGATAATCTTAAAAAACTGAATGTAAAATCAGCAGTTAAATAGTTAAAATATTAACAGATTTGATGAGAGAAAGATCAGACAGTCAGGCAGAGGTGATTGTTGAAATAATGTCCATCAAATGACATGTATATAGAACAAGTTTTCATTTCATTTCGTTCAGTTTTATAACAATACGAGTGCAACAACTGTTACTGTGAGTGTACAGTTGATTTCAGGTAATCAAATGAACTATCCTCAAAAAAAATTGCCTCAAGAATACACATTGACACTGAAAATGCCTTTTGAAAGTGTCTTTTTCAATTTCAACTGTGTAATTAGGACCAAATTGTCAGCATATGTGAAGCAGATATTATCAAATAAGAAAAATGATTATTTGGCTGTATTTTGCAAAAAGAAAGCACTTCAAAATGAACAATTGACTTCACAATCTTCAATTACTCCATTTTCAGTAGTAATTAGGCATATTTATCCCTTTAAACATTTTAGTTGTTTATCTTTTCAGCTATTTTCTACTCAGTCTCACTGTCTTTCCTATTTTCTAAATTTACAATCTGATATGTAGAAAGAAAACAAAAATAAAACAGGTGAAATGAACAAAATATACCAGATATCTTTATAGCAACACAATTACTTACATTATGTGAGGGATCAACCAAAATGATTTCAAAATATTTGTATGTCGAATCTTGGGCTACCCAGTATGAGTTTAGGACTCTTAATCCACCACATCTTCTTCCTACACGTTCCTAAAATACAAAAAAATAACTATAAATACTACAAAAATAAGAAATAAATACTATGGACCTACAATGTATATGTGAAAATAGTGACATCACTTCAAAAGTTTGATTATGTCACCAAATAAGACACCTCAAGTATAAAAATGATAAACAGCTTTTCTTTGATTACAGTTCGGTACATTTAATATAAGCATAACATCATTTAAACTACTCACTTCTGCAATAGCTTGTAAATTACGAACTGGTTTCAATTCGTTAACTCCATGGCTTTTTGGTTTACCATAGGTGGCACCTTTTGGTACTGGACGCTTGCGACCTCCACGTCTTACTCTGATACGGTAAATAACAAAACCTAAAATACAGATGATGTATCAGAACTCAGAATAAAAATCATCGAACTACTTTTGGTCATTAAAATGGTTTGAAATTTACACAACATCAACAAAAGTTGATTTTAATGATAAAAAAGAGTTCAATTTACCTTGCTTAGCTCTATACCCTAATCTACGAGCCTTGTCAGGGCGACTAGGTCTGGGAGTTCTGTGTAGCTTAGTTAATTGGCGATATTGCCAGACTCTCACTCTCAGTAAAAATCTAAGAACATCACTTTGTTTTTTTCTATACAGTTCCTGTATATACTTGTAGGCTCCCATTTTTAAACCTAAAATAGTAAAAACACCTTGTTATAACACATAACCATACTTTAAGTCAACTGTTTATATTGTATATTATTTTTCGAAATACAATGTTTTTGAAAAAATACACCTACGACAGAGTTTTTAATGCAATTTAACACTGGAATAAATTGAAAAACAATATTCTTAAATATGGATGTGGAATATTTTTGAGAATATAGAAATAATAAATTTTTGTACAGTACCTACAAAGACATCCAACGAAAAAGAAAGTTAAACGCGCAAGTGCAGATACTAACGACAGTTGACATCGAGTGCATAAAACAGAAACTTCAAAATGCCAATATTTAAATATAACCACATATAACCATATACTTCATTAAAAATATTTTTTATTAATGAGATTTACACTTCTAGTGAAAAAGTAACATTTAAAACACTAATTATATTCTGAATTTATTTGTTGTAGAATAAATTTCGTAAAATCTAAGCTTTTGGTATTAAGAAACAAACCACTCACTTCACACAATTTGGAGATATTGGTTGCATAACTGACAGTAATACAAAAATAATGTGAAATAGGAATCACTGTAGCTATTATTACAAGTTTGGAATTATTTAAACTATAAATACGTTTAGAAGCACTATATTGTTTGTATTTTATATTGCAAATCAACTATTTTCATAATAACAAAATTTGTTCATTCTCTATCTGTCAGATTTTGTTTTGTGTTCTGTGGTTGTCTGTCAATAGGAATTGTCAATCAATACCTTTACGTCAACAACGTCATTACGTCAATGTAGCAACTAGCAAGCTACTGACTGAGTGCTTTTTTTATTGTAGTAAACGTGTTTTCATTAACATTTATTCATAATATAATTCCCGTTTAAATATGGGTTCCTCAAGAAGACGGGATCGTTCCAGATCTCGAGACAGACGAGACCGTTCCAGATCTAGGGACAGAGACCGAGACAGACGCGACAGGAAACGTAGTAGATCTCGAGACAGGTACAGAGATAGGGATCGTCGAAGAGACAGAAGCAGAAGTCGCGATCGCGAAAGACGCCGTGAAAGAGAGCGATCTATAACACCACCAGAACCCGATGGCGATAAAATGATAGCAGACACTCTTGCTACTCTAGCTGCGACCAGAAACTTTGCAAGTTTAATTTCAAGAGAGGGAGATGGCAATTCAAATATGTCTACTGGTAAATTGCCGACATTAAATAAAGTGAATTCAGTAATTTTTTATATCTTTAAAAGTATTTTTTAAAGGTTTTCTTCTATGTAGTTTCACAACTAGCTTTTCAGTTTTGTATACAACACTGACACTTACTGATATTGACATGTTAAAGATATTCACCCTATATAAAGTAATGTGGGGTATAATAGGTATCCATTTTTTTATCAGATAGAGGTGCCAAATGCAGCCTTGCCTGAGTTTTAATATTTTCTTAATATTAGCAGTAAACACTTTTATTACATACATTTTTTTATTCTAATAGAGAGCAGTGACGATGAAAGAAGGAGAAAAAGGAGATCTAGATGGGGAGGTAGCGAACATGAGAAAATATTTATCCCCGGAATGCCTACCATATTACCACAGAACCTTAATAAGGAACAGGAGGAAGCATATTTACGTAAGTATAGAAAACTTGACTGTAGTATCATCGAATCACAAAAAAAACGTTAAAAATTGTATTAGGGTATAATATATACATTTTTGAACGTTTTATTTTGATCTAACTGTATAAACTGGATTTTACTTAATAAATATTTATCAGTAAACTGTTTCAAAAGGTTTAGGGATACTTAGTATATTATAAGAGAAGCAAAGTATTGAAAGATATAATAATATTACAAAATTTAATGATAGTGAAGATTACCATGACATGTATTTTTGAAGGAACTATAAAATTGTTATGTTCGGTCTAAATAACGTAAGACATCTGCTTAATACATTTAAAAAAAAATATTACATTTAATCAAAAACTTCTATTTCAGAAATTCATGTCGTATTTAATGCATAATAATGTAACTAATTTTATTCCAGACAAGAGATTGACCTTCTAATGCTAGTTTTAATGAATCTAATTGTTTTAATAACAAATTCCTTCGCAGGTTTCTTTCCCATGTTCTAGACATTTAAACAACTAATTTTTTACTCCTTCTAGCATCTCTAATTCATTTTTTCACTTTTACAGGTTTAATCTGTTTAATTTTTCAGCAATTGTATAGAATTCAATCTAGGTTATTCTTTTTGTAATTAGCTTTTTGTTACAGTTTGGTTAAACACTTGATATATATTAAGTTTTATATTGATTTTTGTATTTAAGATGTATTCTATCAATCATAGTGTATCATATCATAATCATACTGTATCATACATAGTCAAATTATTTCTTGTGTTAGTTTTGTCTGAAGCTGTGGCATACATTACTTGTAGTAACAGTCGAGATTGTTGCAGCCAAAAAAAACTTCTAGACAATATATCTCTCTACCTATTATATACCTCCCAGACAGATCTACATATTCTCAAGAAACAGTTAGGGAAGAGTTCTGTCTCTCTTATATTTCTCCATCTATTACATTTGCAAAATTACATAAAAGATAAACTTTTCTATCTATTCTAATGATTTTCCATTTTGTATTACATAAATTTAATGCTTAAGCAACTGCGGGTGATGTAATAAGTGCTGCTGGTGATATAATAAGTGCTGCCTACTGAAACAACTGCAAGATGTACTTCATTATTGTTTCCACTGATCAAGTTTTGTACAAGTTTCAATTGGTGTCTACTTAAAACAACTCTTATGGTTTTAAAGGGTTTTATAAAGGTAATTTGAAGCTAATTTCAGCTATGATACATCCTATAAAAAAAATCAAAGAGATAAATCTACTAAATAATTTATTTTTTTGATTTTTTTGGTTTGAAGAATCCTAAATAAACAAATCAATATAAAATATGATATATTAAGTTTTAAAACTCACTTATTAATGAATTAATAATTAATTCACTTTTTTCTAGGCAATCTCCAATTAATCACAACATTTTCTTTCAGAAATATTTAATAGAAATGGAAAAATGAAATATAACAGACACAGATCAATAACTATCTCATATTTAGTTTTATGATACTTCATTACTGCCTTCCTTTTATGAATTCCAACATTTATGTAATATCCAGCTACAAAGCATTTTGAAATTAACTGAGTAATAATGAAATTTGTAAGTGAATTATAAAAAAGAACAACTTTTTTGTAGAAATTTTATTTGTGATTTATTTGGGTTTTGTTTTGCTATGAAACTTATTCAATACCTACAGCATTGATCATATTTGATTCACTTGAAAATAATGGTACTGGTGTTAATTTAAAGACTTAAATCACTGTGTGCTTCATGTTTGAGTGCTATGTCATCTATTTCTATATGTAACTTTTCCTTTATGAGTTTCTATTGTTTATTTTTATTATAATATTGAAAATTTTTAGTTTGTTCATTATTTTTAAGCAAACAAAAACTATGTAAAATTCCAATTTTTCTCACAGAATCTGCCAAATGTAGATAACTTACAGTTTCCTGTTGTACTATTGCCAAAGTTTCAATTTTACTTAAATATAATTCCTTGACATTACCACACATTTCCATATGCGTATAAATGTAGCTTGATTGGATCTCCTCTTTGGTCACTTATATAGTAAACAATATGTTCTTATCAATTTGATAAATCTACATCTATTATTGTCAATGATACCTTGTTTGTTTAATAATTGTTAAAGGCATCAAAGATAGTTTTTCACACAAAAAAAGATTTTCAGGCATTAACAAGTGTATTTTTATTAAAAATTTGTATTTGATTGTAAACAACTTTTCTAACAGTAGGGCTTTCACGCCCCTCTAACCCGTTTTTATTCTAGTTCAGCTGCAGATCGAAGAAGTGAGCCGCAAGCTGAGATCCGGCGACTTGGGCATCCCGCCAAATCCCGAAGAAAGGTGTGGTTATTTCTACGTCGAAGCCATTGCAGCCCTGCGGCCGCTGTGGTTTGACAACACTTAAATTAAGATATTTATTTATTCTTTTCACGACTACTAACGAAGGTGGAATTTTTAAAACGATCAACAAAGGGTTTCCGTTTATATAGTGCGTATCTTATAATTTGAATAGGTTTTAATATGAGACAATTTTAAATTGTTTCATATATTTGTTTTAAAAATCAGTCAAACTGTGCTGTCTTCATCTAATGAACGATATATTTTTTATATTGTATCTTTTTTCTACCCACAGAGCCTAAAATGGGTAAATTAAGCCACTGTTCTTGCATATCTCTACAGTACCTGGCCAAATTATTAAGCCAACCAAGGAAAAATTTACTATATGAAGTAATTTCTCTCCTGATTATGAATAAATTTGAAAAAAAATTACTGTTTTGTTCTTTTTTGTGAATAATAACTCTTAGGTAATTAAACTGTACCAAGAAAGTTATAAAAAAACTTTTATTTATTAAAAAAGTATAATTTTTACAAAGTAGGGATAAATTTAATATTTTGTATGTCCGTCTTTGGCTGCTAAAAGAGCTTGAACATGTCGAGGCATGCTCTCGATACTTTTTGAATATGTTTTTGAATAGTTTCCTGGAGGTGAGGATTATGATTCCACTCATATATGAGTGTTTCAAGTAACTCCCTTTTATAGTAATGTTTTTTTTTTTTCACAATCTCCCTTTTCAGTAGTTCTCACTCATTCTCAACAGCGTTCATATCAGGCGAGTTGCCTGTCTAAATCAAGAACTTTAATTTTTTCTTTCAGTTTTTGTATTTTTGTGCCCATTCAGAACGTTTCTTTATAATAGCTGGAGTAAGCCTTGGCTTTTAAGCTGGTCTCCTAGCTACCAGTTTGTTTTCGACAAGTCTCAAACGAGCTGTTCTTTTGGAAACACAAATTCCTTCATCTCTTATCTCCTGGGTACACATTCGCAGTGGTTTCTTTCTGTTTACTAGGCCAAATATCTCTTATTTTTCGATCAGTTGTAGGATTAGTAACACGATATCTTCCGCTGTGACCCTTATGCTTTGGATCCAAACTGACTCCAGACACAATTTTTGGTTTTATATTCCTTACAGAACTTCTGGATACTCCTACCATTGCTGCTATTTCATTTTGAGACATTTGTCCACCTTTTAGGAGTCCAAATACCTGACCTACTCGTTTTGGTGACATATCAGCGTTTTTCCCCATCTAAAAATGTTCTAAAAAATAATAAAAAATCCCTCGCCTCTGCAATAAAATTTCAGGTCTAAACCGTTTAGAATTCAAATATAAACAGTATTTGAGGTTATAAAATGCATATTAGTTGACAGGATGCAGTGCTGTCTAGAAATGGCGGATAGTGCGGTGTTGCCAACGTTAAAATAGTACAATAATGTTACCATACTATATTAAATGTTGCTATGCGAAAAAAAAAATTCCTGTTGATAAAACATTATTAATTTAAAAAATGCAATTTTTTATGCTTGGTCTAATAATTTGGCCAGGTAGTATAACATCTTAAACAAACACATCAATATGATGACGGTTATTGATATAGTGCTAGTTTTTGTGTTATTTGAATTTTCATTTTTGTGTTTATGTGATAATTTGTTCCAAAACGAGTTGTTATAACAACTAACCATTACCACAGTGTTTGGTTTCATAGGGTAAGTGCATATCCATAAGCTAATAATGAGGATACTAACCTAACCTCTAATTAATTTGACATATCTTAATTCTCACATTGACGTTTTGATTTAATTCGTATAAATTGAATGACTGCACTTGTGCAAAGAACCAACGGACCAAGTAAATGATTTCGAAATAAATTTTTTGTAAAAATTTTCAATTCTTTCATTTCGTGCTTTCGATGATTAAGGACGTGAGAACCACATCAGTCACCTTGGAAACATAATAAAGTAGCAATTTTTGTGTGCCAACATATTTAACAATATTTAAACTAAAAACTTTTATTTTTATTTGCATTAATTTTGTTACCCTTTTTAACTCACTAAGTATTCGTTCGTGGGCAATTAAAGATGGTAATTTCGGCATTAAAAATCCAGCCGATTCAAGTCTCCTAACTCAGGGGTCACCAATTATATTTCGCTGAGGGTCCGTTTCGAAAACCTACTACACTTCGGCGGTCCGGACACTCAGCACTAAAGCAAGCAGTGGCGTAACCGCGGGGGGTACCCCAAAAAAAACCTCCAGTATTTGTAGCCGCCCCCTCCCCCATCAGGGGTCATCCTGGTTACGTAGTTGAAACCAGGCAAAATAGGCCACCTCGTTTAAGGTTGGGTATAAAATAAACTCGAGGAAAAAGATGATTATAAAGCTATTATATTGTTTTTTCTCCGGCTTTGTTTATTAAATTTTTGCATTTATCAAGCAAATCAGCAAATCGTTTTTTAAATTCCAAATCAAGTTGAAGTATTACGAGTATTTCTATATAGTATTAGTACTGTGCATTTTAAAAATGTAAAGATATTTATTTAGATTTGATTATAATTTTACACTATAATTTTATTATTACATTTTGAATTTAACGGCGGTCCGCAAAAAGACAAGCTCACTGTCCGTATGCGGACCGCGGTCCGCTATTTGGTGACCCCTGTCCTAACTGACCCAGATCTTCACAAATACCGGTATTTCTGGTCAGTCCTACCATCTTATGTCAAGCTGCGGTGTTCAAGTAGCTGAAAAAATAGTGGTGGAGGTTCGAATCATGCCCCAAACCGTAATCTTTTACTCTACTGTATTTAATAGGAATAAATCACAGTTTTAGTTGAAAATATTTTACATTCAATGTTGTGAGATGATGGTAAATAAAGTGTTATTTAATGTGAAAGTAACAATGTGAAATTAACAAAATAAGCACTTATAAATGCTTTCATAAATTTTGAAATTGCTCACTGGTCATCATTATAGCAGCACATGGAACAGCAGCTTCGTCTGTTGCTTGGTAATTGATGATTCATTATGGTTAAAATGGTTTGTTGATCTGAGCTAAGTTCTGAAATTTTTGTAAACTTAGAAGCACTTCTGAGTTCATACTTGCTCATTAGACGATATCCAAATCACGGGATAGTTCAAACTGATATTCATACAGCACAATTTAACCAAAATGGCAGTTTAAAAGGATATTCAATTGCAAAGAGTATGCACATTCTTGAAACTGGTCAGAGTATGTTACTTTTCTGTAGTTAAATTCACAAAACAACAGTCTCACAAGTTTGAGAGTTTTTTTCCTTCTACAACAGGTACTAATTCTTTTGTTGAGAAGACCCTACGTTGTTGGGCACCAGTTGTAAGATAATGGCAAATAAACTATGTATTTTGTTGAGTCAGTGCTCATTTTGTTAATTACACAATTATTTTCTTTGTATAGCAATACAAACTTGAAATAAAATAAGTTTCTTATATTTTTGTTACCCATTAATCGATATAATGAAAGAAATTTAAAAATTCCACCTTTTGTTCAATCCTAGGGTAAGTTTTTATTTAAAAAGGGCATTTTTCACCGTATTTTTTTTTGTGATATAATACTGTCGATTGAAAACCTAAACTAACATCACCTTAATGTGAATGCATTCGAAAATGGTTTTAAATTGCCATTTTTAGTGTTGGGTATGGTAAATTATTTGATTCACTAATTTTATCTCATTTCTACGTCAAAAAGCAGAGATTTAAAATGATCAACCAAATCAGATGATTTTGTCTCATCCATACTTTGAAATTTAGTCATAAAAACTGTATCAAACGGTTCTTATTGAATGATCAGCAACATTGTCAAAAAAGAATAGTGTGATGATGACCATAATCCAAGGAGGAAAATATTTTAAGGCAACGACCAATCAGTACCGAAGCCTCTAACCTCACTTTAATGTAAATCATTCTAAAATGGTTTTAAATTGCCGTTTTCACTGTCGGACATGGTAAATTATTCGATTCAGTAATTTTACCACATTTTTGCGTCAAAAAAGAATGTCTTGAAGGTAGCTGATGTCATCAACCAATTTTGGTCATCTATTAACAGAGATACTTTGAAATTTAACCTCAACGAACTCCATAAAATGATTCGTATTGTCTGATGAACCACATTTTCAAAAAGAACGGTGTGATAATGCCTTTAGTCCAAAATTTGGGCCAACAGAAAACGATTTTAAGGCAACCACTAATCAGTACAGAAGCCTCTAACCTCTCCGCATGTAAATACATTCAAAAATGGTTTTAAATAAGCCATTTTCAGTGTTGGCCTTGGTAAAGTCAAAAAATCATGGATTTAAGTCAGTGGATGTGATCAGCCAATTCAGATCATCTAGTCATATCAATACTTTAAAATTTTGACACAGAAACTCCACCAAATGATTGGTATTGCCTGATGAGCCACATTAAAAAAAAATGGTGGGATTGTCTATCAAAATATTCATTTGTAGAAAGAGTGAATAACTATAAATATCTGGGAACCTGGGTAAATGAAAACAATGACCAAGGTAGAGAAATAAGGACACGCATTGAAATTGCAAGACAAGCATTTATAAAAATGAAAACAATGTTTGTTAATCGAAACCTTCCTCTGGAGCTGAGGATAAGAGCCTTAAGGTGCTACGTGTTCTCGACTTTGTTATATGGAATGGAAAGCTGGACGCTAAAAGTTGATAATATAAAGAAGTTGGAATCATTTGAGATGTGGTGCTATAGAAGGATTTTGAAAATAACATGGACCTAACGTGTTACAAATGCAGAAGTGTTAAGAAGGCTACATGGGATTGCGAGGTCATAAAGCACGCCAAACCAAAAAAACTGGAATATTTGGGCCACATTACCAGACGTGCGAAATATGAGATATTAAGGCTCATAATGCAAGGTAAAATCAAGAGGAAAAGATGCATAGGAAGACGAAGAACTTCCTGACTAAGAAACCTAAGACAGTGGTATAGTTGCAACTTAGTAGATCTTTTCA